CTCTCTCTCTCTCTCTCTCTCTCTCTCTCTCTCTCTCTCTCTCTCTCTCTCTCTCTCTCTCTCTCTCTCTCTCTCTCTCTCTCTCTCTGCCCCCCGTTTTCCACACTTTGTACGGTCTAGGTCCAACACAAGCAGAGAGTCTTTGCTATCACAAATATCCTCAGCTGTGTAGCAAGTTACTAGCAACCATTTTGTTAAATTTCAAATGTTATTTTGGTTGCATGAATAGAACGTCGCATTATTAGGAGGTTTTCTTCCCCTGTTGTAAAAGGTTGGAGCCTTGGAGGTTAGGAAGTGAGGAAATCAGGAACAAAGTTAGCTAGGAAAATAGTGTAGGAGGTTAGGAAGTTAGGGTAGGAAGTTAGGAAGATACGGTAGGAAGTTAACTAGGAAGTTGGCATAGGAAGGTAGAGTAGAAAGGGCAGGAAGTTAAGAAGATAGGGTAGGAAGTTAGGAATATAGCAAGGAAAATAGGATAGAAAGGTTACAGGTAGGGTAGGAAGTTAAGAAGATAGCAAGGAACATAGGGTAGAAAGGTAGGGTAGGAAGTCAGGAAGATAGCACGGAAAAATAGGGTACAAAGGTAGGGTAGGAAGTTGGCGTATGACGGTAGGGTAGAAAGTTAGGGGAGGAAGTTAGAAAGGTAGGGTAGGAAGTTAGGAAGATAGCAAGGAACATAGGGTAGAAAGGTAGGGTAGGAAGTCAGGAAGATAGCAAGGAACATAGGGTAGGAAGTTAGGGTAGGAAGTTAGGGTAGAAAGTTAGGGCAGGAAGTTAGGAAGATAGGGTAGGAAGTTAGGCTAGGAAGTTAGGAATATAGCAAGAAACATAGGATAGAAAGGTAGGGTAGGAAGTTAGGAAGATAGGAGGAACATAGGGTAGAAAGGTAGGGTAGGAAGTTAGGAAAATAAGAAGGTGCCTTCATACTTCTGCCATTTCCTCTTATCATAGTGGGGGCAAACCCTCATAAAAATGCCATGGACGTGGGACAGCTGATTTCATGCAATAACAAAAATATCTCTCTCTCTCTCTCTCTCTCTCTCTCTCTCTCTCTCTCTCTCTCTCTCTCTCTCTCTCTCTCTCTCTCTCTCTCTCT